CTCTCCAAAAGTATCCGATACCGTCGTAGAACCCTACAACGCTACCCTCTCCGTACATCAACTGGTAGAAAATACCGACGAGACTTACTGTATCGACAACGAGGCCCTTTACGATATCTGCTTCCGCACCCTGAAACTCTCTACACCCACCTACGGCGACTTGAATCACCTCGTCTCACTCACGATGTCCGGTGTCACGACCTGCCTGAGGTTCCCCGGTCAGTTGAACGCTGATCTTAGAAAACTCGCTGTAAACATGGTACCGTTCCCACGTCTCCACTTCTTCATGCCAGGATTCGCTCCACTCACGTCTCGCGGCAGTCAACAGTACAGAGCCCTCTCGGTACCAGAGCTCACGCAACAGATGTTCGACGCTAAGAACATGATGGCCGCCTGCGACCCCAGACACGGAAGGTATCTCACTGTTGCAGCTATCTTCCGTGGCAGGATGTCGATGAAGGAGGTGGACGAACAAATGCTGAACATCCAGAACAAGAACAGCTCGTACTTCGTCGAATGGATCCCCAACAACGTCAAGACTGCCGTCTGCGACATCCCACCTCGTGGTCTGAAAATGTCTGCCACCTTCATTGGAAACTCCACCGCCATCCAGGAACTGTTCAAGAGAATCTCCGAGCAGTTCACCGCTATGTTCAGGAGGAAAGCTTTCCTTCATTGGTACACTGGCGAGGGCATGGACGAGATGGAATTCACCGAGGCGGAATCCAACATGAACGATCTGGTTTCGGAATACCAACAGTACCAGGAAGCTACTGCGGACGAGGACGCAGAATTCGACGAGGAACAGGAAGCCGAGGTCGACGAGAACTAAAGACCTCTCTATCTACAGCCAACCAATCCCCCTCCGTTATCTCTCTTCACTCATACTGCTTTTCGATTCCGCCGTTTATCTTTCGTCTTTTTGATTTCTGTTATTTTTCGATTTCATTTTTTTTTTTACAGACTTTCTCTTTTACCACCATGGCTCAATCAGGCGCGCTTTTTCTTTATTAGTACCGCACTCTGCATAATTCGAAAGAAATACTCTATTTGTCGGTCCGTTAATTATTATTATTATTATTTTTTATTTTCTACGTCATTTACTCTTTCGATTGACCTGTTTACGAGGCGCGTCTTTGTATCCAGTGTATAGCCGCTCTCGCGGTCATCACCGTCTTTAAATAAATTATTACGATATAAGTGTATGTTTTATAAGAACCCTTTATTATATTAGCCGCGTAAGTGCCCGCATCAGACGACATTGGTTTTTGTATTTATAAAGTTACAATTGTAGGCGTATTTGTATTTATATTTCTCCTCTTTTTATCTGATAACTTTTATACCATGACAAATAGATCTGAATAAAGTAGATCATTCAACCAAGCAGTATCAATCGAGCATGTCGTAATTAAATATATCCAATCGACAACAATTACAGAATTTTATATTGCTTCCCTTGTAACTGTCTTAGCAATTAGTGCAACCTTGATTATATGTTTCAGGAGTTTTAGCATCGTCGTCGTACGTGATAAGTATTTGGTATCGAAGTCATAAGATAAGCTCTATCCCAAGTGTATCTTTTATCTGCTGTGTATTATTCAGATCAAGAGCATAGAAACGCGGATGTCTCACGGTGACAGTGTCGCCATCTGACGATAAAAAATAATGACCTCTGGCTCAGTTTGGCATCCATGTTGGTACCATGATTGTAGGTACCGAATTTATTGACTGGTACAGTAAAAATAATTTCATTTCATTTGTTTCCAAAATTGAAGTGAATTAGTAGGATGTACTTTATTTAGTCCACACAAAACACTTAGGTGCACTGATGGAACGTTTTAAAATGAATCATTAAGTCCACGGTTCGGTAACTTGCGATCTTATCGATTCCTCCCAGGCATTTAATTCTCCTAATTCATTCTTTTGCCGCAAATTATGATAATTACTTTGTGGAATTCCAGGTGAGACGAATTCATGCAAATTGAACGTCTCGTTTAAAAGTAGTTAAACTTGCAACAGGACGTAAAGTTTGTTGTTTGAATAGACGTTGCATGGTACGACACGGTCTCCATGGAATTTTAACCACTGACCGCAGCTTTTGCTAGCCGCATAACGGATTACCGCGATACAGTTAGAGTCGTTCGAATTGGAGCTCTGCGACAAAATTCTTTCGATTCGTTATCTGTCTATTTCCATATGCCCATCTTCCATTTCGTTCTCAAATTTACGAATTTTATTTTCCAACCTCTGGCTCTTGTTCTCCTCGACTCTGTTCACGAATGCTCCAGCGTCTAGACGGTCTATCTAGATTAGACTGAAGGTATGCGTGGACTTTCAAGCAACCCTAATTCATCTTTCACGACAGCGTGTCATCATTTCCTATCGTGGCTTCGATCGAAACGACTGCAACAAGGAACGAGGCGAACGTTGAATCGCGACCACTTCCTCTTTTCGAATTCCAACGCCCCCGCGCCATTAACGAGGGTAACTGGGATGTCGTTGCCCCTTTCTCGCGCAATTCGTCGGGCATGCGTAATTTTTTAATTACGGCAACACCTCTACCTGCCGTGTCTCGCTTTAATATGGTATGGTTTTTTCATCCTGAAAGGTACCGTGGTCATTAAGTAATAGTAAGTTTGATATAAAAGCAAATGTAGATATTCGTGTCGACGTCCCTCAAGAGGTTAAATGCCTGCGAATCCTGTTGTGTTAACGTGTCCATTACAGGTCTATACAAACGAATAATTAAATAAAGTGTCTTTTGGTCGATTCTATATGACAAGGCAGCAGACGTGACGGGCGAGGTGACTCATCGTCCGGCTATACGAGGCGGCAGCCGTCTCGGTTCGCGAATTCGATCCAGCCTGAGACGCTGCGTGCTAATTACAAACTGCATTATTCTATGTCGAAACGAGCGAAACTCACGAGCTCGAGCTTCCTTTCCATTTAAAAATCCCTTGAAATGGCCATTCAATCGCATGGCAAAGTTCACCCTTCTTTTTAAACCTGTCTCCTCGTTGCAGAGATAGGTATACAGGGTGTCCCAAAACTCGGGGAAGAACCGGAAATGTGGGGTAGCTGAGACGATTCTGAATAACAATTTCCTTTGCAAAAATGTCGGATGGGGCCTCGTTGAGGAGATATTAACGGAAAACGTCGACCAATCAGAGCGCGCGGATACCGATGGAGCGGCCGCGGTAGCGAAGGCTACGCGCTAGGTCGATGCTTCGATGCACGTCGAGTCACTTGTTCGCGTGCAAGCGCGGCCCCCAGCGCGTAGCCTACGCTACCGCGGCCGCTCCAACGGCATCCTCGCGCTCTGATTGGTCAGTGTTTTCTGTTAATATCTCCTTAACGAAGCCTCATCCGACATTTTTGCAAAGGAAATTGTTGTTCAGAATCGTCTCAGCTACCTCCCATTTCCGGCTCCTCCCCGAGTTTCGGGACACCCTGTATTTAATTCTGAGTGAAGAGTAAAAACTCCAGACTTGGTAAGAATAGAGAGAATACATGAATGCCTCGACTGCCATCCTCTCGTAGATAAAATATATATTCATATGCGGGTAAACGAAAGATAATACGACCACCGTTATTCTGACTGTTGGCTAGCATAACAGGTGAGCAGAATTCCTATCGGTCGAAATGTAACCTGGTCTGTGAAACGTTTCCAGGTGCCACGAGCTCGTAAGAACTGAGCATAAAATCAGCAGTGGTTCTGCATTTTTGGACGCATCGTAACCCAATATTAAAGGAAAGCGAATATTTTCGACCGTTTCGAGTGCGAGAGGCGAACAAAGAGCAACCAGTTGGCACAACGAGGTGGGAGCAGAGGGATAGGGACGGAGTGACAATAATAGAAGAAGAGCTTTCACCAGCAGCAGGGGATCGTGGAAGCGTAGAGCAACTCTCGCAGCTGGAGACGAAACCTCGTCTCGATTATCGTCGTTTTCGACGGGCAGCGAAGAAAGCCAAGCGTCCGCGACGTTTTAAGAGTGACTCATTGTGATAAAAAGGTCTTAGGAGCTCTTTCCTCCGTTCGTTCGAACGTTCCTCTCGACTTCCAGCGATATCGAGGTCTCGAGAATCCGTGGAATTCAACGGGACGAAGTAAAAATATTTCTGCCTCGAACACCGCAAGGACGTAGCCCCCGAAAGGGTATCCTCGCTCGAGTTGCATTTCCGCTGGATGCGCCTCGAGTCCATTGAACAGGATATCCTGTTCTCTGTGGCTTTTTTTTCGATGCTAGTTGGCCAGATACGGAAGTCGAACGTTATGGCAGAAGCCTCACTCGTTGGATTGCAAAATGCCAAGTTCCCGAATATTTCTTTCTCATGGGAGACCGGAAGCAAACTATGATAAAATTATTCTAGAAGTGGACTAGTTTTTTCTTGCTACTCGAGACGCCTCTCAACCTTTCCTCGTTCCTCAAAGTCTGGTCGCTGCAGCACAGAGTTGAGATGAGTTCTGGTATCCTCGCTGGTTTATCTACGCGACCTTTCGTATCTGATATCCCCTGCAACCCTTCCAAACGATTCATACCAATCTCTCATTCCCGACTACTGACACTCATTCTTCATTCGGAGGAGGTTGCAATTTTCTGTGTTTAACCGAGGTGCAGGTCAGGAATTTGGATAAAGTGGAAAAGTACAGGGAAAGGGGAACCCGAAGACCTGCACTTGTGCGTTGCGTGGATCGATTGTATCGACCGTGCTGTTCCAAGAAACGTTGTGACTCGTCGCTTGTAAACCATAGAAGATCGAGCGTTAATTACACCTCCTACAAGCATAAAAAATTGCAACTTCTTAATCGATAACTTCTTTGGATCTCTATTTGTTCGATAAATTCCAATCGGAAAATTCCAATTTGAACATTCCAATTACAGCCAGATCATCCAGTTTCATAAATGCTACATATCTGGTAGTTTTCTAAAAGAATCTCAGCTCCAGTACCCCTTGCATTCCCTCCTCAAACGACAATTTCTTTCTTTCAATACTCCAACTGTAATCAAGCGAACCTCTTTAATTCCCTTACTGACGTCGATGTGTTCCTTCAAACGGGGATTTCCTTGACTTCTCCGTTCCTAGTATATCCGGTGTTCGAGCACTATCATCCTCGTCGCCTGACTCCTCTCCTCGTCAGTCGTCAACCCCCTCCCCCCTCCCCCTGCTCGCAAAGGCTGGTGCAGGCCTGCGGGTGAACGAGTCTCGGTTCGAGTCGACCTCAGGACACCGACACGAACGCGTATATTCCTCGTCAGTTTCGCTCCGCAGGGCTCCAACTCCGCTCCGCTCCACACCGCCCCGGCACTCCTGCGCGACGCGACAGTCTACTCTCTGCGCCCGCTTCGCTGCACACGCTCTCTCCGCGCGCGATCCTCGCACTCGTGCACCACGCTTCGCTCGAGATTCCACGTCTACGCGACCGACGCACGGCACTCCTCCGCCCGAAGGGATCAGCTGTTCGCTTCGGACCGCACCTTTCCACCCTCTCGACGTCGCCAAGGGTACGCGAAGAATCCAGACCGAGCGCAAAATGAGGGAGATCGTTCATCTTCAGGCTGGACAATGCGGAAATCAGATTGGCGCGAAGGTAGGTCGCGACCTGTCCTTTTAAACTTCTCGGGACGCTGTTTCATTCATGGTGCCACGGCGTATAGTTTTCTTCGTGTAAAATGGTTCGTTGGAGCATCATTTGGAAGTTCGATGGTAGATTTTATTTGAGCTCTTCAGAAATATCGGTACACGTGTACGTTTCGTTTCTGAGTTTTTTTTTTTTCTTTTTTTTATTAGAAGGGTAAACAAATATTTAGCGTTAAATCTTCCGATGACGTATATCAACGATTGTACATGTTTAATAAAGTAATTCCTCGAGAAGTTAACGTAGAGTCAAGTGATAGAACGAAGTATTGCTTTTTCAATTTTTGTACGTTCGGGGTAATTTCTGAGTCTCGCCGCAACGAACTCTAAAGCGTTTAATTTAAAACAATGTTAACATTCGAAAGAAACAGGAAGTTGCCCGTCGTTCCTCGAGAATTGGTATTATTTTAAAGGGGGTTCTGTCCGCTATTTTGGAACAAGAAGATTCCCTCCCGTTCGAGGCCGTGCTGTTAAACGAATTAAAGATAAGGCGGCGGCTGGTAATCAGTTGGAATTTAAAGAGGCTCGTTCTTTAGCTGGCAAAGGGCTTCGTAACTTGTCGACTGAAAACGCGCCGCGACTGGTCGATGAGGACGAAGAAGGAAACGAACGATTCCCGAAGCAGACTTGGAATTCGATGCAAATACCGATACCGATAGCGTGCATTGGCCTTTGATCGCCTAATTAACAAGTCGAAGACGCGGAATTCCCGCATCGAAATTACCGATCGAAACTTAATCAACACTTTGAACGCACCTAGAGTGCATCCAGCGTAGCGTGGCTCCGAATTGGTTTCGTGGATGCGGAATGCAAGTCTAACGATTTCTTATTCGCGTTGTAAACGATGCCTCCCCCCCCACCCCCGGTTTTTGACGTAAACAAAGCATAAACGAGACGCTCGCGGTCAGGATGCTGATGTCTGCCGAGCGTCCCTACCTACCGCAACGTTCTGCTGCTTTCTGTATTCCGGGTTTGAAAATAACCCTAACTCAACGAAAATAAACAGTCTTGGCTGCTGGCGACCTGGTTGGAAGACATCGTTGCTCGATGGATAGATATTTACGTTGGGTCAGCTACGGATCGCACGTTTCGAGAAAAGGAACAGAATTTATCTAATTTTGAAAACGGGACCAACTGTTGAGTTTCCAGTTGTACTCCGCACACCCGTGGTATTTCGCGGAGTTAGGCTCCCCAGTGTTCTCAGGACGATCGTTAAATTCTTCCGCGCGGAAAACGACGTCGGGCGACCGATTGTAAATCGCATTCAGAACAAAGGGGCGTAGTTCGTTCCTTGCCGCTGCAAGGAGAGGCCAGTTGGGACCGTTCGAGTAATTGGACGGGAGAGAGAACGAGCAGCCCTAATTGGCTGTGCCGCTCTAGTAATTAAGAGTACCTCGCTTCCAGATCTCTGCTCGATCTCGGCCGGAGTCGCGGCGCGGATCTATTAACCGTTAATTGCTGGCCAACGATTATCTTGGTCATTAACGATCGTGGTCGCGTCCTGAACTTTTTGTCGCGGTACAGTATGGACTGTACGGTACCGAGAAGATTGTCTTCGACGATGCACGACCGCGCTGAGATGAAACTTTGTCGAAGGGTAGAATACACTGGAATTTCGATAATCTTGTGATTTTGAAAAACTCCTCATCCTGAACGTGCAAGGATTTCAAAATAATGCCACGAGATTTATAAAAGAGTTGGTATCCTGTTGCTTCCTAGAGTATACTTTTCGTGGCTTCTCGAGCATTCTACTTTAAAGAGGAAACAGAGATTCTTCTCCTGTTGGTCATAGAGGGTTGCTGGCGCTTAGAATATTCTAAGGGTTCGGTTCGCGTCGCCGTCACCGCGACGCTGGACTATTAATAGATGGGAGAAAATAGTGAAGGCGAGGAAATGGAGAAGAGCAACGACTCGGGGTCCAGGGAGTATGGGGACACGAGCCAGGGGGCAGAAGCCGCGTTAATTTCGTGTATCTCTATTTTTGGACGATGCGTTATCCTTGCTTCCACTCTCCGCAATTCCTTCCCATCTCGCAATGCTTCGACCAACGATCGTTATCGGATAATGGAATGAACGTTTGCGTTACAGTTCTGGGAAGTGATCTCCGAGGAGCACGGGATCGATCAGTCCGGGATCTATCACGGGGACAGCGACCTGCAGCTGGAACGAATCTCCGTGTACTACAACGAGGCTTCCGGTAAGGATTCGTCGGCGATGTTTCAAGTTTCTGTCGAAACCAGATCACAGCCGCGATGTCTCTAGAGATTACACGTCGCGAGACATGTTCGCGAACGAACATAGAACGAAAATAGAAGCCACTCTCGCTGAACATGGGGGAAAAACGAGACACGCGAGAGGTCGCATTTTACGACCGAAATAGCCGCTTTGTGTGTTCACCCTTGGCTTTCACCCTAAGGAATTCGCGAGGCGAGTTGTACGTTTTTCGCGACGCCGTCACGACCGCGCCCTCTTGGCACCGAATTTCATTCCTCGGCGAGTATCGAAAAAATTGAAACCTCCGCTATAAAACGATCTACAAATTTTCGGCCGTCCGTGTATCGTCGCGAGCGTCGTTCTCGAAGCGAAATTAACCACCTGGACGTCTGATTTGCAAACCACGGGACGCGTCAGTCGAAACCGTATACGCATTTCCGTCGACCATTTAAAGGCGTTGTCGAGAGTTTTTGGTTGGAATGACAATACCTTTTCAAGCACGTTTAATATGGACGACAGGACGCGTCGTAGAAGACGCGAGCGGCGCCGACTTTGGAATAAACGCGCACGTTTCAATGCTAAGCGTTTGTTTCGCGATTTCTTAGGCTCCTTCAATGATTCACTATGTACACCCTCAACCCTAAATCCTCGCACTACCGGATCTAGTCTCCGTGTACTGTTCCAGTCGCGACGTCCACCAATGGAGGAGGAAGTTTTAGTGGAGGCAAATATGTACCGAGAGCTATTCTGCTGGATCTCGAGCCAGGCACCATGGACGCCGTTCGTTCAGGCGCCTATGGGAAGCTCTTCAGGCCCGACAATTTCGTGTTCGGGCAGTCAGGGGCTGGCAACAACTGGGCCAAAGGTCACTACACCGAGGGAGCCGAATTAGTCGACTCTGTGCTCGATGTGGTCAGAAAGGAATGCGAGAACTGCGACTGTCTGCAAGGCTTCCAGCTCACCCACTCCTTGGGAGGAGGCACTGGATCTGGAATGGGCACTCTGCTCATCTCCAAGATCCGCGAGGAGTATCCCGACAGGATCATGAACACTTACTCGGTGATGCCGTCGCCTAAAGTGTCCGACACCGTGGTGGAGCCTTATAACGCCACTCTGTCGGTTCACCAGCTGGTGGAGAACACCGACGAGACCTACTGCATCGACAACGAAGCCCTTTACGACATCTGCTTCCGCACCCTGAAGGTCTCGAATCCCAGCTACGGGGACCTGAACCACCTGGTCTCGCTGACCATGTCCGGCGTAACGACTTGTCTCAGGTTTCCAGGCCAACTGAACGCGGATCTGAGGAAGCTGGCGGTGAATATGGTGCCATTCCCGCGTCTACACTTCTTCATGCCCGGTTTCGCCCCGTTGACGTCCAGGTCCATGCAGCAGTACTCTGCGCTCTCTGTGCCAGAGCTCACGCAACAGATGTTCGACGCGAAGAACATGATGGCTGCCTGCGATCCGAGACACGGCAGGTATCTGACGGTGGCTGCCGTCTTCCGTGGAAGGATGTCGATGAAGGAGGTGGACGAGCAAATGTTAAGCGTCCAGAACAAGAACAGCTCGTACTTCGTCGAGTGGATACCTAACAACGTAAAGACTGCCGTCTGTGACATCCCCCCAAAGGGCCTCAAGATGTCCTCCACCTTTATTGGAAACACCACTGCCATTCAAGAGTTGTTCAAGAGGATCTCCGAGCAGTTCACCGCCATGTTCAGAAGGAAGGCGTTCTTACATTGGTACACGGGCGAGGGGATGGACGAGATGGAGTTCACAGAGGCGGAATCCAACATGAACGACTTGGTCTCGGAATACCAACAGTACCAAGAAGCCACAGCTGAAGAGGACTTCGAGGCTGAGGAATGCGCCGACGACTTCGAGACCTGCGAGCAGGAGTAGATCTGCAGACAAGAATTGGGAGTTTCTGGCTTCGATCACTCTCGTTCCTCTGATTTCGTTTCTAGCTGAGATGAGCAAAGTTCTGTTCTTCTCGGCAATCACTGTTCTATTCTATTCCATGTCGTTCGCTCGATTCAAAATTTCATTTCATTTTAGAAGCGAAATTGCAGTAATTCGAAATTTCTATCGAGAATTTTGCTCATCTCTGGTCTCTGTCTCTGCTCTTTTCAGCTTCGTCGAGGCGAGTCTGCGACGCGTTCGAGGAGCTCTTTTTATACTTTTATATATACACGATACTCCTTTTTTTTTTTTTATATATGTATAAATACTCGCAAAGATGCAGCGTCCAGTACAAGCGTCTCAACGTTGTGCTTTCTGGAGATTCTTAAACGCTACGTTTGGATCCTTGAACAGCGTCGAGGACGACTGCGCGAGATCGCTCGACGGGATACTCTAGAAGGGATACTCTAGAAGGGATACTCTAGAAGAATGGAACGAGTGTCCAAGGGCTCGTAGGAGACAATCGGCAACGACCAAACACCAAAGCACCTCAACCAAAAATCTGCCTTCTTCGTTACATCCACAGAACTTATATAGTATGCGTATAACCGTGGCACGCGTTTTAATGTAGCGCAAGTTTGTTCCTTACGAAAATATACGACTTTTTCGAGTACTCGTGTCCCGATTTACTTCCCATCTGAATTCTCTTATTAAGAACTGCTCTGCAAGCAAGCGAAATAAAGCTAAAAAAAAAACATACTATTACCTTTCCACGTCAGTTTTACTCATTCTTCGAACTCTGGTGTTTCGTCTTCGAAGCTGGATTCAGCCTCGGCTTCCTGGTGCTGCTGGTACTCCGAAACTAGATCTCGTATGCTCGCCTGAGTTTCGAAGAACTCGGTCTCGTCCATTCCCTCCGCCGTGTACCAGTGCAGGTAGGCCTTTCTCTTCAGCATACCGTCGAACAAGTTCATCAACCTTTTGATCGTTTCTTGGATCGCCGTCGTGTTCGATACCATCGTGGCGCTTATGGCCAGGCCTCGCGGAGGAATGTCGCAGATCGCGGTCTGAATGTTGTTAGGAATCCACTCGATGAAGTAGGAACTATTTTTGTTGCGTATGTTCAACATCTGCTCGTCTACGTGCTGAAAGCAGACGAGACTCTATTCAAGGAAAATTCGAGCGAAATAAAATCAACTCTTCTCTAAAGAAATCATTTACGTAACCTTGGTCGACATCCTGCCCCTGAAGATGGCGGCGATGGTCATAAACTTGCCCATCAATGGATCGCAGTAGGCGAGCATGTTATTTCCACTGAACAATTGTTGAGTTAATATTGGGATGGAGAGGATCGAGTAAGGAGCAGAGCTTCTGGACGTGAGAGGCGCGTAGCCAGGAACGAAGAAGTGGAGTCTGGGGAACGGTACCATGTTCACCTGCAGCTTCCTCAGGTCAGTGTTCAGTTGTCCTGGGAATCTCAGACAGGCGGTGATGCCAACCATGCAGGCAGAGATTAAGTGGTTGGCGTCGGCGAACGTGGGCGTAGAAATTTTCAGAATACGCGTGCAAATGTGATGAAGAGCCTGATTGTCCATACAATACGTCTGGCTGGTATAGTCCACGAACTTTCCAAGGGACAGTATAGCATTGTAGGGCTCCACCACGACGTCTGACATCATTGGCGAGGGTATCACGCTATAAGTCTTGAGGATTCTGTCGGGATACTCGTCTTTTAACTTTATCGACAGCAGGGAGCCCATACCTGAACCTGTACCACCGCCCAGCGAGTGGAGTAGTTGGATACCTGAAGAATATCGAAGATGAGAGTAGATCTGGTAAGGTAGAGTGATCTATCGGTAAGATTGGGCAATGTAGAAGACTCGATCGTTAAAACAGGTCGTCGTTCTGATGGCGTAGAACACTCTGTCGATAAAACCTTCGTAGGATTCTACATTACCTAGCCTTACCATTACTTGAAAGCTAGAATTACTCAACGTTCGACTGTTACCCAAGGCAACTTACCTTGCATGAGATCGCAGTTCTCTGCCTCTAAACGAATAAGATCCAATGCTGTGTCAGCAAGCTCTGCACCTTCGGTGTAGTAACCTTTGGCCCAGTTGTTCCCTGCACCTGCGCGTCCACACACGAAGTTATCCGGCTTGAATAATCTGCCAAACGGGCCCGATATCAACGAGTTCAAGCTTCCTGAGTCGAGGTCGACCATGACGGATCTGGGGACGAATTTGCGCCCTAAAAAAAAAAAAAAAAACAGTGAGATATGTTAGTATATTATTCGAAGAGCCAATAGTAAGTTTTCACGAGTTGTCGAGCTGTACGTTCAACGTATACCTGGTGCCTCGGTGAAGTAGACGTTCATTCGTTGCAACTGGAGGCTCGATTCGCCGTAAAAGACACCGTCGGGAGCCAGACCGTGCTCGTCTGCGATTGCTTCCCAAAACTGCAAGGAAAGATAGGAAGTAGAATGGCGCTTCATCGCGACATTGAAAGTATAACTCGAGAGAATAGCGGAGGTTAACGGTCCTACCTTACCTCCTACGTTATTCCCGCACTGGCCTAGCTGCACGTTCACAATTTCTCGCATTTTCTCTCTTTTTCTTTTTTAGATCTGTGCGCTCTTATACTAAAATTTGTACACCGAGAATTAGAAATTTCAAATTAGATTGTAAATAATAGATTGGAAATTTCGAGGTCGGAAAGGGTTATGTCGCCAAGGTGGCGAGCCAGCAACCATCAGGAGGCTGAGAATCGAGTTCGATTGTTGTTTCCCATAATTTATCGATCGATTCGTGTATGGGACGATCCATCAGAAACGGTGTACACGTTGATCGTTATTTCGAGCAGTAGAAAGAATTTATTATCGACGCGATAATTATATATTAAATGGTGCAATTGAATCTATTACGATCGACGGTTGGAACTAGCGCGCAATAATGCTCGTTCCAGGCGATCCGCGACGGGTACGCAATAATAAAGTGTTTGTCCTCGAGGCACCGATGAGATAATACGTGATCACCAATTTTTACCAAGGTCTCTGCTTCATCAATCCCAGTTGGCTCGAAGGACGTCAACAGGTTCGATGCTAAGCTGCGATAATGGCCACCGCGACCCCTCAGTACATTTACATTGCACGCTACCAAGTAACAAATAAGTGTAAGCTTCTTTTTCTGGTGCAAAAGGAATCCTGTGTTTCCTTCTCCTGTCTATTTAATCTTCTGTTTAGTCTTTTATTTTTATTCGTCTAATTTATTTAATATCGCATCCTGTTCCCCATAGCACAACAGTACAAGTTTAAACGTTTTATGTTTAATGTAGATTGCAAGTTAAGGATTTAGCTGGGTTAGGTTGTAAAGCAAGTTTATTCGACGAACCTCGTCATCCTGCTCCTATGCAACGCTACGTTTCTGTATTTATACTTTGACTCTGCTCGTCTATTAAAAAATAAAAAAAAAAAAAAAAAAAAAAAATCAAGTAACACACAGAACCGCGTTTTCCCTCTCGCAATACATACCTTGGCTCCCTCGATCGCCCAGGATCCCCGCGTCGTCGTTCGAAATCTAGACACGACGCCGTTATCCATGTACCATAAAGAGTATGTCTATTAAATGTTCAACAAAGGTAATACATTTTCTCTAAAATCACTTACAACATATGTATACACGTATATTATATATGTAAAGTCGATCAAAGCATAAAAATCGATCAAAAATCGGTCGTAAAAAGGTGTCGTTGAGAAAAATCGGCGCGAACGGGTCCGCTACATACGTTATACAAAGCCACAACCCATTTTGAAGAATTCGGTATAGTGCGTTCGGAAGATTCGGTTCTCGTCGAGCCTGCACGAGAAATTTGCTGTCCTCGTCGCCAATCGAGGGCCCCCCGTCCCGCGAGAACAGCGAGGAGAAGAAGTCGAGAAATCGTTTTACTTCTCCTCCGCCTCTTCCTCCTCGTCGAACTCTCCCTCGTCCTCCGCGGTGGCCTCCTGGTACTGTTGGTACTCCGACACCAGGTCGTTCATGTTCGATTCCGCTTCCGAGAACTCCATCTCGTCCATTCCCTCGCCAGTGTACCAATGAAGGAACGCCTTCCTTCTGAACATGGCGGTGAACTGCTCGGAGATCCTCTTGAACAGCTCCTGAATAGCGGTGGAGTTTCCAATGAAGGTGGCAGACATTTTCAGACCACGAGGTGGGATGTCGCAAACGGCAGTCTTCACGTTGTTGGGGATCCATTCGACGAAGTACGAGCTGTTCTTGTTTTGGATGTTCAGCATCTGCTCGTCCACCTCCTTCATCGACATCCTTCCACGGAAAACGGCAGCCACGGTCAGATACCTGCCGTGTCTCGGATCGCAGGCAGCCATCATGTTCTTCGCGTCGAACATCTGCTGGGTGAGCTCGGGCACCGTCAACGCTCTGTATTGCTGGCTTCCCCGCGACGTTAGGGGTGCGAACCCAGGCATGAAGAAGTGTAGACGCGGAAAGGGAACCATGTTCACTGCTAGTTTCCTCAGGTCAGCGTTTAGCTGACCAGGGAATCTCAAACACGTGGTAACTCCAGACATGGTGGCCGACACTAGGTGGTTAAGGTCTCCGTACGTCGGAGTGGAAAGCTTCAGAGTTCGGAAGCAGATGTCGTAGAGGGCCTCGTTATCGATGCAGTAAGCTTGATCGGTATTCTCAACCAACTGGTGAACCGACAGGGTGGCGTTGTAGGGTTCCACGACCGTGTCGGAGACTTTAGGGGATGGGACTACGGAGAAGGTAGCCATAATCCTGTCAGGGTACTCCTCGCGGATCTTGGAAATGAGCAAGGTGCCCATGCCTGATCCTGTGCCACCGCCCAGGGAGTGGGTTAGCTGGAATCCTTGCAGACAGTCGCAACTCTCGGCTTCCTTTCTGACCACGTCGAGAACAGAGTCGACTAATTCGGCTCCCTCGGTGTAGTGGCCTTTGGCCCAGTTGTTGCCAGCCCCTGACTGTCCGAACACGAAATTGTCGGGTCTGAATATCTCCCCGAACGCTCCAGAGCGAACGGAGTCCATAGTACCAGGCTCCAAGTCGACCAAAATGGCACGTGGCACGTATTTACCACCGGATGCTTCGTTGTAGTAGACATTGATGCGCTCTAGCTGAAGGTCCGAGTCTCCGTGGTACGTACCGGTTGGATCGATGCCGTGCTCGTCCGAAATCACCTCCCAAAACTGTTGTTCGAAAAGAAACGGTCAGACGGTTGCATAATTGCCATCTAGGGACGCAACGCCGCTGCGTGTTCGTGATTTGTCGTAGACGCAAAACAACTTGTCCGTACCGCACCCGAAACGACTGTAGAACAAGTATTTTTGCGCTGTACCGCGATGTTACCAATACGTTGTACACAGTATTCCCTGTCAGGTTGTCACGATTTCTCTCTACCAGATCGTTATAACGTTATTCCCACCTTTCATTCTTCTCCACTCACGCTCGATAGTTTCTCACTCTCCTGAGAGACGCGTACAAAGATGAGCGCAACGGAGATCAAATTTCACTCCCTGAAAAGGAATACTGTAAGGATGGTGAAAGCCATAGCGGTGCATTTAAATGAAATTTAAGAAAAGGAATCGACCCGTAGGTGGAGTCCACAGAGATTAACGAAAGAAAAGGTTTTCTTTTTTTAAATGGGGAAATAGATAGCTCAGACCACCATGGCTTGCATCTGCTCCTACGTAACTCGAGAATGGTAACTTAAGGTTAGATTTCACGATCGTCGTTCGCTGACACATGGAAAATCGAGAATGGAAAGAGAGATATGGTAGAAATAACGTAGTAAAAGTTGTTGGTCGAGTTCTTCATTTCTTTGGAAGTCCAGAGCCCGCACTTGGAGAGTTCGCAGTGACACTGACCTTGGCACCGATCTGGTTGCCGCATTGTCCAGCTTGGATATGCACGATTTCACGCATCTCGAGACCGACTTTCGAGGTCGACGACGGCTAGAAAAGTCCGCGATGGCACCCGTGCGAATCACGACGAGGATGGCCCGTCGTTAGGAAGTTCAAGGACGAGGTTTCGGGCTCGTGGCTTCTCGGCTCGAAGGTGTAGCAAGAACGCGTTCAAAATGTCACGAGCAAACAGAAACAGACGAATGTTCGTTGCTCCTTGGCGACAATAGCCTGGGACTGTGACTTTTTATCGAATTTTTTCTGGATTCGACAAGTATTCGAATAGACAGATACTTGAATCGTATACGAGTAAATATTCGAATGACAATAAAGTAGGGAAATACCTGTACGATAATTCGATACAGCAAATATTTCAATATCATTCGAATACTTACTATTCGAAAATTATTCGACCACTTATTTCGTATCATCCTCGAAACCAACGGACGGATGACCATCGTCGCCGATATTCGCAAGTTTATGTCACCCAGGACGAGAATAAATCGGCGCGATTTATGTATCGAACGACTCTCGCCAGGTGAAACCAGCGAACACCCGACACCCTGGAGGACAAGCTTCACAGATCAGGCAGTACGTCGCAATAAACGAACGAGTAAATACGGACGCGTCTCTATACTGATATTTATAGTACAAAGTCGTGAAGGGCAATTGCACCGAGCAGCCACAGATTCATTGCGTCCTTCTGTGTTCAACGACGACTACCGCGTCCACGCACTTTTCATCGCGTTCCGCGTACTCCTCTCTGCCGTCTGTTGCGCTGGGTTTCCACGACAGTTGCTCTTCCTGACCATTGGAGGCCTGAAAGGAGTTCTCGTCCTCCTGGTCCGCGTCCTGCGACCTGGACGGCGAGGATCGATTCCCTGGCCTCCCGTTCACCAGGTACCTCAGGGGCACAGCCTCGCATTTGTCCGACTTCCTCCGCTTCCTGGAATGCATCACTCTGGCACTCGCCATACAAATATAACACAACCCTCTATTGCATCGATTTTATTTTATCTGGAAGCTAAACGTCTAAGGTGAGGCTCGATAATGTAGAACACCCAATTGATAAGGCAGATCGCTATACTGGCAATGAAGTACGCTCTGTCGATAAATACGTCGTGAAAATAGGGTTCTACCTCATCGACGGACTGCACTACATTACCAACAGAACCTACAAGAACTCTTTCGATGTAAAAATCAATCACGCTATGCAATAGAGGGTCAAACAGAGAAGAGGTTGAGAACTGACTTTGGTAACGTCGGGCAGGACCAGAGTTTGAAATCAGCCCCGAAGAGCTCGCCCTCCTCGATCGTTTGCGGCAGGTGAATGTTGAGGGTTTCCGGGAGGAAGATGGACGTGAGCGCCCCAGCGACACTTAACGTGCCCATTATGATCAGAGGAAGAACCCTCGAGTAGACTGCCAGGTGGACTATATATGGAAACGCTAGCAAACCTATCCCAGCGATAAACGAGGCGATGCCCATCGCCTGGGACCTCAGCACAGTGGGCAGTAGCTCCCCCACGAAAACGTAAAACACGGCGAACGAGGCTGCGATCCCAAATTTCCCGATCATCGCCAGGCACACCGTCACCCAAACCGCGTCTGCTACGACAGACGTGATAGCGTATAACGTATGCTAACCTTTCAATTTTGCATTTATGCATCAAGGTCTGTCAACTTTGCCAGACACCAAGTACCAGTACTAGGGACCTCGTACCTTCGGAAACAAACATGCAGGAGACGCAGGCGACCCCACCTAGGAGCATGGTTAGACACAGGACCCATCTTCTGCCTAGCCTGTCCATCGCGTACCACGTGATGACGTAGGACGGTATCTCCACCAGACCACCTGCGACAATCCACCAGAGATGATCACTATTTGTCGATTTCAAAAGACCTGGTCGTCTTCCTGAATTCTTTCAACTATCTACAAAGCTACATGTATCCTTGTTGTACAGAGAGTGTACACTTCCGTTAACGTTTCAAGCGTATAGCACTATACCAAATCGAAAATCCTATTTAATCTTTGCACCACCGTGTTTGACAAAGCCTAGCCGCAGCGTGTAGGCGTTGAAATGCAATTAGGAACGCATTCAGTCGCAACTACCATAGGACGCGTTCTGCATCGTTCGCCGCTGCAGAAGCATTATGTATGCATTGGGTATGATTGCGCGTTTACCGATGAAGAACGCCAAGTAATCGGAGACCCCCAGGTTGGTCGTGTTGTAGGACAACCCGTTGTACACGACAGCGTTCGCCACCCAGTCGAACGCCAGGATGAAGAACTTCTTCCTGATGTTCGGATTCCTGACCAGGTCCATGGGCGTCGCTGACGGTGGCGGCGACCTGTCCTCGACGTCCACCATCTCGTTCTCGCCGGAGTTCGTCCCGTTGCAGGAAACCCCCTGCCTCCTCAGGATCTCCATCTGGAACAAGGTTGGGAGCAAAGTTGGATCTGTTAGAGTAATCGATTGCTGGAAAAATTCAGCTGGTAGTTCCAGCTTCGTTCCAAGTTTCGATCGGTTACCTCCATCTTTCTGAGAAAATTGCTGGGGACCGTTTTCCCGTTGATCTTGGCCATTCGCTGGACAATCACCTCCGCCTCGTCTATCCTGTTTTTGCTGAGGAGCCACCTCGGCGACTCTGGAATGATCCAGTAGTAGCTGAACAGGAGGACGAATGGAACGGAGGTCGCCAGAGACAGGGTGAACCAATGCCTCAGCAAGTAACCCTACGAAAAGCGTTTTTAATTTTTGTACCACTGGTACTTTGTATCGCAGGACACTTTATGTATAACCACATAAGGGCTCTTACCAGCAAGGCAAGGAGAGACATGGCTGACGCGAAGAACATGCAAATCACCATCCCGGCGAAGGTTCTGTACCTAGGGCCCATCAACTCGAGGGCTGAAAACAAACGTTTTCGTTGTTCCAACGTTGAATTTCAAATTCGTTAGATCTGCTCGACCCGTTGGCGGTCTTTGCTCACCCAGTATGAAGGGTATCTGATAGATGGCGGGGAAGAAGAGACCGTTCACGGTCCTCAACGCTGTGTAGATCACGTAGTTGGGGCTGAAGCTGGTGGCGATCGAGATGATCACCTCGAAAAACAGTATGGCGAAGAAGGCCGTTCTTCTGCCCCATTTGTCGGCGATCCAGCCGAACACGACGTTCCCGAAGAGGCTACCGACGTAGAAGAAGGTCGTAGAGGTGGAAGGCCACCAGCTGTTGTCGCATACCAAGTCTAGCTATGTGGATGCAGAATGCCATTAAAACGCTACGTCCTGCGCGACAGTGTCTCCCTTTCTCAACCCCTTTAACTTCGTTCTCTAATTAATTCCACGCACGGTGCCATTGCAATTCTAATCAACGAGTCTCTTTTTGCTAGCTACGAAACTTTAAAAAGTATCGAAAACTCCAAGCTTCTCAGCTAGTTTCAGTTGCTGGACTTTCAGTTGCTCTTTCGAGTCTAACGTTGCGGATCGAGATCGATGGGACTTTTCGGGGTTTGCTTGGTTCTAAAAGGAGCGACGACGGTGATAGAAACAAGGTCGAGGCGTAATCGACCCCGAGTAAGATTCTGACGAAACGAAGAGAGATTGCGAGTATCTGCCGTGCAGCGATGCAACAACACTGCGGGCGATATCGCTCCATTATAGAGAAGTCATTGCTCCGGTTACGTCGTTTATCTTCCTCCCTTGTACATACGTGCGCGCGACCGCAATGCGTTTAGCCCGACTAATTCCAATCGTTTCACGGGTGCCACTTTTTCCGTAGACTGGCCATCGTTTGGGAAAACCATAGGTCGATGCATCGATTCCGTTTGTTTCGCAACAGAATTTCATCTCTTCTTTTTACAAACAGCAGTGGCAGATTGTGTGACTTTAAATATTATCTAAACATCAAATCTCGAGGAATATAATTGGCACACAAACAGATTTCCTAGGAAATTGGCAGGGGCGTATTGAATTCCTTATGCATGACACAATTATCCTTCGTTAGAATTTAAAGCCAGCGTTGTCTGTCGTTAATACTAATCGTAAATGCTCATCGGGTAAAATGCAGTCACGTAAATGCATTCAAAACAATATGGAAGCATTATTGCGTTGCATCGATGATACTTTATGCATAACG